GTGGGTCGTATCCACCGTAGGAGAGGTCGGGCCAGCTCTTGCTCAACCGGAAATCTCGTTGCTCGTATTCTCGATCGATGGGATATCCATCCGATTGAACGTTGAAGTCGCCTCGATAGTCCTCCTCCTCCTCCCGCCCTCGAACGAGCTCCCTCGACGCTGGTGACAATTGATCGTATCGCGGCCGATGATACGTTTCCGGTATGTCGTAATCCGGCATTCGTTCAGGATCTGGAAAAATCGGCAGGAGAATATACGATTTCGAGAAGTAGATCGGTTAAGAGGGATTCGAAAGTTTTTGTCGAAGCTTCGGGAATTCGCCCAGGAAAGTTTGCGAGCGAAATGTCTGAGAAGCGACTTGTAAATACGGAGCGGTGAAAAAGTAATGGAAATTTTAACGATACGTTTTACGGTCGAGAAGAGTTGGCGGAAAAGCAAAAGTAAAATTCAATTTGTATGGATAAAATATTGTATGTACAGTTTGTTATTATTATAGAATTATATACCGCGAATAAAATTATTTAAATCGCGTGTAAATATAGTAAAATTCTTGTTCGATTGTTGTTATTAAGTTTATTTATTATTATAATATTTTATTAAATCGAGATTTACCCGATAACTCGAAATTCGATCACGAAATTTAAATCAACGTTTACTTCAACAGCAATAGCAAATATTTTGCACGGGTAATTGCACGAATAAGCAAGAAACTTCCTCGAAAGAGTTTTTCCAGGTTAAGCAAAGAGCTGATTATGCGGGCTCTTTGCTAAGACTTTTGACGATAGCCAAATGTAATAGAAATAAAGTGAAAGAAAGTGAACTTTAACTTAAAACTTTAACTCTTTTTTTCTGAAAAAATTATTCTGCGCATTCTGAAAATTATCCTGATTGCACCGCTTAACACGAAACGCACGAATCGTTACATCTTGATCACATTAATTCACAAGCAATCGGAATTACCGAAGGAGCACGGTGTGCTATCCCTTCTACCATACCGACACGTCACGTGACACTTTGGCGAAAGACTAATCACGTGACGTATCTCTATCTAAGCACTGGTAGTGGGGATAACGTAGCATTGGTAGTGGGGATAACGTGACGTAGCGTATCTTAGCCTGATGTAGCAAAGGTATAATATTCTCTCGCACCGAAATCGAGTTATTTCTAACGATTTAAGTTTCAGAAGAGACTGTGCTCGTCCGGCAACTCTGCAAAATCCTTACGAACTTACCTATAGGCCTGTCGTACACGCTCGCGAACTCTCTGCGTTGTTGAACGTGACCAGGCTGACGATTTCCAATCTTGCCAAACCGCATCAGCCTTTGATTGCCAAGTTCGCCAACTTGGTTCGCCAATATCGGTTTTCTATCGGATGGAAAAGTCTTTGGCTTCCCGTTCGACTTGTCCTCCTCGATCAGGTCTCTGATAGAGGCCAGGCTTCTTGGACTTTGCGGAGAAGAGTGACTGGTCTCTTGTTCGGTTTCACCGTGAACGTCTTGTTTCCAAGGAGGTCCAAACAGTCTCTCCGCTATCAGACGCCATTGAACAGGCGTCGTTTGCCACGGTATCTCTGTGGTGGTCAATAGCGGAGGTGTGGCCGATACGGAAGTCAAGGGGGTCGTGGAGAGACGATGCTTAGGCTTCTTCTTCTTCTTCTTCGACTTTTTTCGCGATTTCCTCGACTCGTTCGTGGATTCGGTTGAAAATAGATTCAAGGTGGGCTGGTAGCTGCGCTTATCTGGCTCCAACTCGTCTCTAGACAGCTTCAGCTCGTTTTCCCTGTTCACTGTTGATCGCAGAGAGAAAAAATTATTAATTCACTATGACAATTTTGAATCCGTTATTCAAACGAAATATTATTTAATTTCATTGTTCAATTTTTAAATTGGATTTCAGATTATATATTAAAATAACAAGTAAAAACACTTAAATACAACATTCAACGGGATTAAAGAAAGAAATCTTCGATTCAACGAGATCCAAATATCCCATAATTTTAATTTCTAAAGATTCCTTTCAAGATCGAAGTCCGATAAGAAGATAGCTCCATTCCAAGAAGGAAGCCGTTCGCGGGTAAATAGATTCCGAGCGGAGTTAGTTGTGGGAGCGGTCCAATCCGGTGGGGCTATTAAAAAGGGAGAAAGCTGTTGCAAAAGGGAAGACCCGCGCTGCTAATCGCGTTCGAGTCGAGCGGGGAATCCAATAAAGGCCTTACAATAGGTTGATTAGAGCGATAGTGTCTGCATTATTGGCCGACGTAATTGCCCTCTGACAATTAGTCGATCCGTATAACGTGGAAATCAATGTAACTCGGTCCGTGAGAAATTCTCTTTCTCCCCCATTTTCCCTGTTGCGCACTGCTGGCGCCGTTTCTTTTCCACCATCCTCCATCGCATCCTCCACCATCCTTCCTCTCGTTCGATTACTTCCTGCCACGCGAACAATATGTTAACCCGCCATCTTGCGCCATTTCACGTTCCCGAATTAACCGGAAACGAACGCGGATCCACTCGAATAATCTCTGGATAATCGACTCTGTGATGGTCTTCTACGTTGGGTCGAGTTGTCGATTCGACTCCACATTTTGCGGAATAATTACATCGGATAGAAACTTCTCTCGACATTTTTTTGGAAAATCTAATCGAAGGCGTCTGTAGCGTTAATTTCGTATGAAAAATGGCAGAAAATCAAGAAAAGGAAAGAAATTGACGTTTATTTAATTAACATTTAATTGTTGTATTTCGCCAGATTTATGATACACTCAACAATTTTCTATTTTTTATCCATTAAGAACGGATAGATATATCACGAAAGTACGAAAAGCTCTTAAAAGCCCGAATATTTCCCTTTTTTTAAATGGAGATTAGATCGATGCAGTATAGTTTCTCGCAAATCAGTTTTCCAAAATTTGTACAAGCGAAGTAAATTCTTATGCAATATCTTTCGAAGATAATCCTTCACACGTACTAATAAATATTCAATCGGCATCCAACAAACATCAACGAAGCACGATCGATCGTTAAAATCGTTAGCACGAACGTCAACGATTATTTAATCGAATTATACGAAAGTGGGGAACCCAGTAAAATACAGAAAATTAAACAAATTAAACAAATTGGTTGGAAATTTTAAAAAAGAATATTAAAATAATAAAAAATCGTTGCCTGGTTCTCTGTATGCAAAACTATATGCCCCTTAATTTCATAACTAACGCGCGATCTCGTGGCCGGGATAATGCATATACGGGGACAGTGAATAATCCGGGAACAAGTTAGTCCGTGAGTTGGTGGGGGAAGAGGGGGGAGGGGCGAGGAGCAGCAGTAGGTAAAGCGGTTTGCGCGCGAGACCATCTTAATCTCCATTACAGGAACAATGTCGCTTTAATAATAGCCATTTGCTCGCGCTGATGGATGAGCACAGCCCGGGGGAGAACACGTTTCCAGTATCGCGACGCGGTTTTCGCCACGAATAAATCGACGCCCACGCTCTTTCATCGATCGATAACATTTCTTCTCCCCAATGCTTTTTTCCTTCTACGACAAACTTTCTCAAACTCGAAAAAAATTTTTACAAAGCTTGAAGCTTCTTACTACTACATGTATGTTATTTTGAAGAAATTTATTTAACCACGCCGTAGAATCATCGAGAATCATCCTATAAAAAATCTTCGCATCGTCTGTGTCGAACGTATCAAAAAATTTCACACGTCGAATTGCCATGGAAAAATATTTGTGCTAACCAACCCGTTTCAATTCCTTGGTCTTGGTTTGATCGATAAATCTTCGAAAGTTATTTATTTCTTATCTCCGAACACGAGATACAAGTGTCGAACGATAATTAACGAAGGAAAGTTGATTCAGGGATTTGCAACAGGTTTCTTCTTCGCGGGATCGCGGAACTAAGTCTCAACGTTGTTTGCGAAACTTGCCCGATTATCGTTCCCCGTCGCCTCACGGGCAAACAGCGGCAAGTCGATGAACCAAGTCCAGGTCACGCTTCCCTTTAACGATACACGCGAGAGATCAACGAAACAACTTGCGAGATTCAGCCGCGGAAAGACAAGCTCGACGCGAGGATACCAAGAGTGGAAGGATTAACGAGAACCGAACTATTCAACCGAGATATCAATTGTAAACTATCCCATCGTGCGGAATTCCTTCGGTCAGGAGGGGTTATTGCCAGCGTTACTTACCGAGTAGTTTGTGCAGCCGTTCCCAACGCCTCGGATCTTCGGCCAGTTTCATCAAAAGTTGCAGCAAATCGTCCAGTAGAGCGTCTTCTCGCGTCTATAACGCAAAGATGATTTTTAATTATCGCTCGGGGAAAAAGTAAAAATATTTGGAATTTCTTTGATTTTCGGGAGCGACTACTAAAATTCTCCTTCGAGAAAATTTTAAAAGTTAACAATACAGATGTATCTTTTGATGTATAATGCAAAGAGTAATATACGTAACGTGATACTAAATTATGCGTCAAAGAGCATAGACATTTCTTTCGAGGCCACGAGTGTTGTGTAATTCGATCCTTGTAGAGAGAGTCACGCGTTAAATAGACAATGGTTCGACAGTGACAGAGAATGTGTTCGCCATTTTTCTCAACTGTCCCGTGTTTATATTGCCGTTCCACGAAAGAAAATAAACGAACAATTATTTAGATAATTCCGAGTGCTAGTGGAAATTATAGAGAAACGAGAGACGAGAAATAAAAGAAATGGTCTGTTGAAAGGGATAACAGTGGCGATCTTCGTGTTTCGTAATTTCCGCTCGATACATTCCCTTCGTATCGAACTTTCTCGTCGCTGATTCCAAATTAAGATTAACAGCCTTCGCTTCGTGTCCACCATTCCAAGTATATATCCTCGATATTCGTAGTACGGGATTCAAGATTCGAAAGGAAAGTTTCTTCTTTTTCCCTCGTCGATGCTCCTTCTTCAACTGTCCTTTTAATGGAGATTAACGCTCCTTGAATCTTTTTCTCTCTTTTTCTATCTCTCTGCGCGGACTGTTTCTTTTAATAAAGACTCTCGGCAGCCTTTCTTCCCTGTTCCCTCACGGAATGGAAATTTAACGCAATTTGCTTTCCTTGATAAAAATCGTACGGATTTTCGTTATTCCTATCGCTTCATTCCCTATTCTCTAGCTATTCTTCCAAGCTACGCGTCGATAAAATTCTTCGATACTCTTCCTACAGTGCTAATACAAATGCCTTTTTCGCTATCTTCTTCCTTCATCGAATTTCTTTAATAAAAGTCATCCAATAAACGTGTTTACCTCCACCCTCGTCTAATAAAAATCGGCACCCTTCTTCTTCATCCCCTTCCTCCTTTTTTTTCGTTTTTTATTCCGAAACGTGATGGAGATTCCAGAGGGTTCTCCTTTCTCCTTTCGTAACGCGAGGATAATCGAGGAGGCGGGGAGGCGCACGGGGGATATTGAATTAGCCGTGAGAATGCGGCTCTTTGCGAGATCCGCGCATCCTCGACGATAAGCACAGCAAGTAGGTGACGCGATAATGGCGTCCGGGACATTCTTGAGGCGCGGGAAGAACGCGTCCAATTTGGCGAGGACACGGCAGCATTCCCACTCGAATTGCCACTCTCTGCTCGTCTCGCTCTCGTGGATCTGCTCTTCGCGTGGAATGCCTCGACGGTTCAGTTCGATTTCTTGCTTGTTTTATCTTTTTTTTTGCTTCTTTAAACTTACTTATTAGTTTGAGTATAAATCTGCACGATGGATAGATTTCGAGAGATATGTCGATTTCTCCGTGAATACATCGTTGATTTCTTCGTAAACTTTTATCTAAGAAAGAATTAACGAGGAAAGTTCTTCGAATTTTTATTGGCACGCTCGATGATATTTCGAGCATTCCGGTTGATACAACAAATTTCTATTCGACTTGGAATCGAACAGGGCAGGAAAAATTTTCACAAGAATTCGATTGGATTGAGAAGAGCGCAGAAAGATTTTTTTTTTTTTTTATGCTCGAGTTCCGTTTAAAGAGGGGCGACAACGTCTCTTCGTGGATCCAATTGCCGCAGTAATCGCAGTAAACTAGTCGCTTTAAGAATATTGAATTAGTCAGAATGGGTTTATTCTTTGTGCTAGAATTGTCAGAAGAAACGGGGACGATGCAACTATATGTATCTATCTTTTAACTCGTGAAGAGCCTCGTGTAATTTTCTCCTCCTTATTTTTCACCTCTTTTGCACGAAAAATGTCATCTTTGATTTTTCTTCTTCGCTTGTTTTACGTAGTATTAAAAACTCACAATGAATATCTTTTTCACTCGAATGATGATTCTCACATATTCGATGCGATACTCGAGAGGCTCTCATTTGGATTCGACGATATTTATTTACGATCGATTTTTTTAGAATATCGCTTCATGAATAGATTCTTAAGCTCGTTGCTTATAATTTTAATAAATGAAGAATATAACATCGAATAGATTTTCTTATCTCAAATTAGATCGCGGATCGGAGTGAATCTTTGGCATTGAGGTTTGACAATCGTGACAGAATAGAAATATTATTTTTCTTTGAGTTTTGTAAGCAGAGGAATGTGCTAATGATTCAATTTGAGAAGATGAGTTTGATTTTGAACGACGAAATTACTTCTATTCGCGAAGAAATTGACGATAAAGAGAAGGAAATAAGAGTATATAATATAAAATATAAAAAATAATATAAAAAATATTATATATAATATTATATATAATATAAAATATATAATATATATTATATAAAAAATAATATAAAAAATAATATAAAATATATAAAAAAGAATAATATAAAAAAGCGAAAAATAAAAATAGAAGGTGAATGCGAGAACGCGTTATGTTAACAGGAGTTACAAGATTTGCTCTCAACGAAATAAGAAAGATGAAAGATATTTTATCGTGATACTGTGTTCTGACAAATCGGAAAATTGCATCTTGCCGATTTGCTTTATAAAATATAATCCAACAATATATAGAATTTAATATTCGACAAATTTTCTTTTTTTATATGATATATAAAAATATAAAAGTTTTATACATTTAATTTGTGTGAAATCATTAGCTGCAACAAAATTCATCGAACATCATTGGAAAATCGTCTTCGAGCGCAAAGGGTGAATAATAATAATATTATCTTAACGAATCTTAAATATTCTCTTCATTAATCCGATTTTTCAATCATCCAATCGAAATTTAAAAATTTTACAAGCAGCCATCTTATATTTATAGAGAATTCTTTTTTAAGATGAATTCGGAAATAAAAACGAAAATTCTTCTTCAATTACATCATTTAAACTATTATTGTTTTAGTCATCGAGCGATCGTCTCGATTTAAATGCTTTTCTTTCACGAAAAGACATTTCGATTCTCATCCGAGAATTATTTTTTATCATCATTTAAATCATTTAAATCATTTAAACTATTATTGTTTTAGTCATCGAGCGATCGATAAGCGTTTCTCACAGCTTGTGATTCGTGTGGGACAAGAACAAATAACCCGATATTCAACGCGGGAAGGAAGCGGAGGAGCATTGTCTCTTCGTGATAAAAGAAAACTTGGGGGAGAGGGGACGGCATTTATCATCGCGACCTAAGTTTTATTTCCATCTCCCGATCGTTTCGTGACAACTTTCTCATTTGTATCTGCTTTTTCTTATCCGCGACCGTTCTTATGAGTTTAAATCCAAACTTAAATTCTTCCTATCGTTTCGAGCAGCAAGATAAAAATAAAAATTGAAAATATAATTTTTTTAATTTATCGAAAAGAGTTGGGGTTTTCGTATAAATTCGTTTATTTATTTTTCGATAGTTGCTTATTTGGTTTGTTATAAAAGGGGGCATGGGTTGTCTGTAAAAATTTTTAAAATTAAAATTTAAAATAAAATTTGGAAATCTTTCTTAGTACGAGTTGAGCTACGTATTTTAATCATATTAAAATTTCATATCCATAGAGAAGGAGAAAAATTTTTATAGTATTTTCCTATATTTTCTTACTTTAAAATTCTATATTTATATGAAAGAAAGATTGAATTAAAGAATACTATATTCAATACCTTTATCAATGGAATAGATTAAATTTTCCTAATGTACTCTAATGCTTAGTAACTCAGCTAAGATAGTAATTTTCCTAATGTAACTATCCATTAAAAATTTTTCTAGTATGAAATTTTTCTTACTTTAAAATTCGATATTTATATGAAAGAAAGATTGAATTAAGGAATATTAC